AACTTCTTAGTTTTCACGACACTTCGAGTTTTAGTTCGTGCATATACCACAGCTTTAGCAACATTTAACGCTACATTCTGTATTTATGGTTTGCACGGTAAGCAGTGGTTATTAGGAGTTCTTAAACATTTTTAGACCTTCTTCGGTTTAAAAGAGTTACGAAATTTATTCACGAGATTTCTTCGTATTGCTGTAAAGTTGAAATATCTACAATAAATGCAGAAGGCATTTGATGTACAACCAACTAGTGCTGCAGAAAACGGTTCAATGGCAATTCTACCTCAAATTGTTTAGTATTCGTGACAGCACAAATAAAATCAGACAATCGGGCGTTGCCAGTAACATGAAATAAATACAACTAGCTGCTATTCTCCCTTAAGGACGAAGGTGGCTACAGAATTCCTCCGATAGCCAACATTACAGAAATATAGTCCTTTAAATACAACGAGATCTTCCATATGGAGTTGCTGGCATGTGAATGTTTAACGATTACACACCAACCCTCACCATACCACAGACAATTAAAAATACATTTGCATATAATAACAGTAATAATAAATATGAATCACTTACCTCAAACTTTGTTCAATTGTAAGAGACCACGATGTCCACCGGCAATTATCAATTTAATCAGTAATAAAATAGAAAAAGTGGAGGGCAGTATCACAGATTTCTTAATAATTCTTATATAAGATAAGTACTTGTGATATTCTAAAACGTTTCTAACAGCACAAAATTATCTACGACGCAGTTCTTCTACAAGCGATTCACAACTCAGCTCTTTCCGCAATAACGAAAGCGGATTGTTGACGGCAGTAATGAAACACAACAATGCCGAGAAACAGATACTCTCCTAAAAATTGTGCTAAAAGTAGAATACTCTCCTAAAAAAGCACGGGGTGTGGCTGCGTCGGGGACACGGCCGTGGGTTTTACGTGAATACGTCTGCGTTAGCGGGTAATATTTTCTTTGGAATATGGGAATGAAATGAAAGTAACGAAATGGATACAATGCTTTTATTTAGCATAACAAATATACAGAGTCTTAGCTAGTAATCGATGACAATTTTGTTTAGCATTGGTATATAACAAATATTTTACAAAGTTTTAATGGCTTAAATCCACAGATCTAGACGTGATCTTTCGTTTGGCACCAAAATCAGCATGCTAGCACATCGGAGTCGCGAGATATACTGCCCGTAAATTTTCGCCCACGCCCAAAATGGCCGCCATTCGCCGCAGGCACCCCACCCGCGCCTCGCACATGCGCGGCGCCAACTCAAGGTCATGCTCGCATCGTAGTCGTATGCCCGATCGAACGAGACCACATTTATTTCAATCGTGTTATTAGTCACGAAGTTATAGTGTCGGAATGGATCACCCTGCAAACGTTACATCGCCGTTTCCGTCCTGGTAACCCATATGTCGGTCTGATTTTAAAGACGTATTCACGTCAAAACTAATAGTTATTTATAAACACTGTGTGACCGCGCGTTCTGGGTTCGAGTCCCGGTGAGGCGCAAATAAATATAATTTGGAAACAAGTAATAAAGATTTACGCGTTTCACTTGTTAGGCAATTGCGTCCTGTTCAGGCCAGGGGTCAGTTTATTGGTAGGTGCTCTGCATTCAGTGCAGAAGGCTCACTCACACTTAAAAGAAAAGGAAAGAAAGTTACACAAGCAATGACTGTAAAGGCAAGAATTATGGCACCGTGTGACAGCCAGAATTCTTGCAGGGGCACCCACTGGCTAAAGGGTTTTGAATGGTCCACGTGAGCTAGGGCTGAGCTGACCAATGCGAGCATCGCATCATTACTGCCCAAATAGATCATTTTTTTGTGAAAGTTAAGGGGGGAAGTCCTGTGACTAAAGGACAGGAAAGTTTTCTTCGAGGACACTCTTTTCTGGAATTCAGAGGAAGCAACATCCTGAATTGTTTTGTAGCTCGATTCGGCCAGTGAATGTTAATTGCAAAAGAAATAAATAGTGCTTGCAAAACTACTAACTTCAATCTCAAAACCATTACCGAAACCTTCCTCGCTGGCATTCAGCTTATACCCCTCCATGTAATATTCCCTGAGAAAAGTTCCATGCCTACATGAGCAGAAATCCCGAATTACATCACATACGACAGAGATCGACAAGACTGCAACCGAGCCGGGCAACTCCAACAGCAAACAGGAGTGGGACGGTTACAACTGTAACTTTAATCTTCATTTCTTGGATTCATTTTGTTTCATATATTCCAAAAGCTGACCTTTCAACTTCTGTATCAAGTCTTCACAAATGGCATCATATTCTTGAAAGAACGAATGTGCCTGTTCATTGACATTCGATGTATGATCTTTCAAGAACCGAACTTTTTCTCTACTGTCCTTCGATTTCTCTTCTTCCTCATCAACAGAAGGCATCATTGCAACAATATCCGTACAATCTTCTTCCAGTCCCTTCAAACTGCATTTAAACATCTGTTCCTCATTCTTTACTGTAACTTTAATCTTCATTTCTTGGATTCATTTTGTTTCATATATTCCAAAAGCTGACCTTTCAACTTCTGTATCAAGTCTTCACAAATGGCATCATATTCTTGAAAGAACGAATGTGCCTGTTCATTGACATTCGATGTATGATCTTTCAAGAACCGAACTTTTTCTCTACTGTCCTTCGATTTCTCTTCTTCCTCATCAACAGAAGGCATCATTGCAACAATATCCGTACAATCTTCTTCCAGTCCCTTCAAACTGCATTTAAACATCTGTTCCTCATTCTTTACTTTCTCCTTCAAGTCTTCCACCTCCTTCACATACTTGCCGTACTCTTCAGAGGCTGTGAACCAGCCTCTGCAGAAAATTCTTCTTGCTCCTCTGTCCGTATTTCCATTTCATTCAATTTCATTTTTAGATCTTTCCTGAAGTTCTCCATTTCATCAACAATTTGCTGTGAATGAAAGAAAGATGTCAGAAATGATGATTAACCGGTGATTTTTTTGTATGATCTATACTTTCAATGAAGTCTTCTCGGGCAATAAGCTGCGTCAGACGGCCGTCAGAAAACCGATGTTTTGAGAACTGTCTTGGTCCTCGGTTTCTTGCAACCACCTGACGTGGCTGATTCCCTGAGAAGACTTCATTCAATTATTCTTTGTTGCTCCTGATAGGTATTATGCAATGCAAAAGCTATATGGAGCACTTTTGTTGTCCAGCCAAGGACACTAACCTATCCCGACTTGTCCTCTTTGTATACACGGAATGCACCATGCCTGATCACTGAGAGGAACAAAATGAATGGAATTAAGAAGACAAATTGCGCCATACTACCATTACAGATCACGTACTAACCATCAACTCAGGAGTCCAGTCAGCATAACTGTTGTACTACACGGGTTAAAACAGCCCATTCAGAAACGATGAAGGTTAATGAATTTGTCTGTCTGTTTCAAAGTGCAATCGCAGCATCGTTTTGAAGGGAACGAGGGAAACCATAAAAACTCTCACTTACGTTAATCAGACTGAGTAGAGAAGTGAACACACATAAAAAGAGAGCTAAGCACTGAACTGTCATTGTAGACCTTACCTGCATGATGAGATCAGTATCTTTGTGCAGGAAGTTCATAGCCATCTTAAAAACGTCTAAATCTGGAAGTCCATTTCTGTACTCCATAATGGACGTGTTGTATACCACGCACTTGTTAATCGACTCAGTTTTCAATTTGACTATTTTAAGGTCGTCCGCGTACACGGACTTTGACAACGCATCGCTTTAAGCATGGTTCACTCGGATAGTCTCCTCCAGATGTCTGCACTCGCTTCCGATGCGTTTGTTATCCTCAAGAGTGATGCTCTGATTTTCAACAACGTGCTTCATTCTTAACTGGTTACCGTAGTAAACCGAAGTTTCGGGAACAAATTAAATAAAACCTTCTCGGGCAATCAGCCGCTTTAACCGGTTTATCCGTGTGAGCATTTTTCCATGTGCGTTATTTTCGTGTTAGCATTTATGACAGTTCGCTTCTTTCTGTGCGCAATTTTCGTGTGCGGTTTTGTCATGGAACTGGTAGGAAAGATTAATTTAAAAATTACAAAACAGGCGGTTTCCAGTATTGGATTGAATTCTGTAAAACAATGTATAGCCGAATATTTTCATTGGGTTTTACTCGAATACTTACATGAGAATAAATAACCGAATGCTTTCGTTGAAGTGCCGCAATTCGAACAAAACTCATAATGAAAACAATCAAATAATGGATTCATTTGCTATATTTGATTATCGATAGTACAAAATATTCCATTGTGCTCAACTATTAGAAAGTATTGTACACACAACATTGCCAACTGATCTGCGTTGCCAACCTAGGTAAAAGTCATCCGCGCTTACCAGGAAGTGAATCGTCAGTGGTCAGCAGTGGTAGGTCTGGCTGTATAGGTTTGGCTTGAAGTTTATGGTTTTAATATGGTGTGTTGTATGTGAAGACACCTTTGGAACAAGTGTTTGGAAATAGTACGCACACTCACATAGACTGTAAGGTAAATTGTTTTGATTTGTTAATATGAAAATGTTACCCCTCTTAGAAAAGAATGTCTTCACGTTCATTAAAATTGGCATTTCCATTTTTGTATCAGGTAACAAAGGTTTCTGGTCTATGTAAGATAAAACAAACTGATTATCTGATACGGCTTTGCTAATACAAGTGAACTGTTTCTAGAGGATTTCGAATTTGACTTATTCTGAAGTACCATCAGCAGTTTTCTGTTGAAACATGTCAATCAGTTTTGCATTTCGCTTGGTCGAATTTTTTTAGCACAGCGAAAGCGAAACTGATGGCAGTGTATGGTTACGATCGAAAAAATTTTGCGACAGCGGTTGGTTAGAGTGGCATAGCAGAAAAACTTTATGATTTCGTATTCATATTGAACTGTCTTTAATTTTTTCGTTATTTTGATTTCGGTGATGTTGAGCCTGTTTTTTGTGGATGACTCTGTGTTATAGTAGTGGTGGACTAACTGGCTACTTCAAACTCAAATTCACATTATTACTAATCATCTACTTGACATGAAGCCTCTTTTGGGGCTTGTAATCATTTTTTAATGCCTGAAGTATGATATTAATTTCAGTCTTAATCGTCATGGAGTATCCTCCCCGATTAGAGGATGGATCTGCCAATTGTCAGTAATCTTAGTCCTTGTCAACTATGCATATTTACATACATTTACTTTTTACAACATTTACAATTTTACGAATGTAAACACCATATGCAAAGCCTCTGTTAGTCTAGGTTCTGTGAAGTGTGTTAAGGGACATTTTAATAACTAACCCATCACTCTTGCTTCCAGTGATAGTGAATAGGAAGTGGAACAGAAAGGTCTTAAAATACCTACTGTCTTTCTTGGTATAAATGGGTGGAATGTCTGGGAAACCCTTATGGGTGGTCTGGTGTGGACAGGAGTAAGGAAAACAGAGAGGCAGGAAACAGGATAAAATAGCCTTGAAAGGGAGACCAGATCAAATCTAATGTGGTAGTGCAGTGTCTGAGATCTACACCACTACTTTTGATTTGATCTGGAAAGACATAGTCAGATTGATCATATCTTGATAGAAGAAGGCAAAATGACAAGCATACTATATGTCCAATCGTATATAGGTGCCGACTATGACATTGACCACTATTTGGTGGTTGAAAAATTAAGGGAGAGAGTCCTGGTAAGTAAGCAGGTAAAGAAAAGGTTAGATATATAATATATATTTATTGTTAAGAAGGTAAATGATGCAGAAGTTAAGAACAGCATCAGTTCAAAATGTCACAGGTTTGCAGCTTCAGAAAATTTCCATTATAATGTGGATGTAAATAAGGTTTGAGAAATTATTAAGAGTATTGCAATTGCAGCCAAAAAGAGTTTAGGTCCTTATGAGTTAAAGCAGCATAAACCATGGTTTGATGAAGAATTTTCATAGTTGTTTGAGGAAAGAAAAGACTAAATTGCAGTAGTTACTAACTCCAAGCCAAATAGATGGAGATAAAAGAAATAGTGTAATATGTGAAGCCAGTAAAAATTTCAGGAGCAAAAGTGAGAATATCTGGAAGACAAAATTAATGAGGTTGAAACAAACAGTAAGAAGAAAAATATTAGATACCTGTGCAGAGGCATAAATGAATGAAGAGTTACTGTCCTAGAACTGACCTTATAACAGATGAAAATGGTGATTTGCTAATAGATTTTGAACAAGTAGAAGACTTCTTTTATTATCTATTACATGTACATGGGGTTAACAATGTTAGGCAGACTGAATTACATACAGCTAATTTAGTAGTACCCAAGTTCCTGAGGAGGTAATACATTTTGTTCTGAGAGATCCAGAAACTAATAAATTCTTGTTGCCTGTCTTCTGGGTTTTAGCACTGTGTATGTAGTGTGATAGAATCACCTTGTTGATGGAGACAGCAAGTACCGCTGAAACATAGGTAAACTTGTAGGATTTGAGGTTTTCATGGCAGTGAGTCTGAAGATGACTTTCTGCCAAACTACATGGTGCAACAACCCAGAAGACAGCCATCCATATGTAAGCTTATACCAGACAATACCACACAGCAACCCAGAAGGCAGCTGTTTTCATACTCGCCAATATGAGAACTTGAAATATTTCTTATAAATTCTATTTCAAATAAAGAAGAATTATCAGAGCAGTGGAAAGAATGTATTATTGTACCTTTTTGTAAGAAGAAGGAAATATATCTGATTTATAATTATTGAGGAATATGACTTATTTACATACAAAATTATATCAATCTTATGTCAAGTAGGATTTGACGTTCTCATGGCAGTGGGTATGAAGATGGCTGGCTTGTGGGTTGTAGCACTGTGTAGTCTGGTAGAAGTTTGCTAATGTTTCAGAGGTCTTTGCTGCCTCCATCATCAGGTGATAGCCATCTTCTTTCAAGGTTAACTCCATTCTTCAATGTAATTACTGGGGATCATCAGTGTGAATTTTGACAGTCAGTCAACTATTGCTCAGATTGATGAGATTTTAAGTACTCATGGCAATGGGTATGAAAACAACTGTCTTTTTGGATGTTATCTGTGTCTGGTAGATGCTGATCAATATTTCAGAGAATCTTGCTGCCTTCACTGTCAGGATCAGCTAGCTCACCACCCTCTTGATGTTCCCCTGAAATGTCTGTTATTATCTACTGGACTGTATTGCAACATCCTAGAAGAGAATGATCTTTATACTATTCAGATATTCTCCATTCTTCAGATAACTATAGCAAGTGGTTGTGCTACAGTATAAGTAAAGCTGCCCTGCTTTATGTTATGTAGGCGCTTGGAGGAAGAGGAGGTATAACTTCTACTCATTCTTAACCTTGGCACTAGACAGAGGTGAGTGGTCAGTGTTTTTACCCATTAGATAGGAGGCTGGGTCAGCCCGAGAACCAGTCTGGATGCAGAGGTTAGAGGGAAAATCCTCTGCCCCTGTCAGGGATCATACCCTGGTCATCCAGTCTGTAGGCAGTGTGCATAGTCAGTCACTATACTGACTGAACTACCCTGGCTCACGACAAGACAGTAGGCTTCATTATCTATTTTTACACTTTCAGAAAGTGTGTTCTTTTAGGAGAGAAATTTTATATATATTTTTCATTGAATTCAGAAAATGTATGAAACTAGTTAGGCTAATTAAAATGTGTTTGAATGAAACCTATAACAAAGTTTGTAAAAATGAAGTAAACTTTTGTCTGTTGCATTTCCTATCAAGAACAGTGTGAATGGTATGTTTCTTCACCAAAGAGTTTCCTTGTGTCTTCTCTTATAATTTGTTTCTGCCGCATACCTCCTCTGCTATTTCTATAAAGCCTACCCTGTGTCAATCCCATTCTGTGTCCACTGATTGTACTTCATTTTCGGGTAATTTTGTCTTCAGTAAATCTATTTTTTTTTTTGACATAAAATTGGCTTTCTCTCCTCCTTTACTCTTCTAAGTTTGCAATTAGTATTCTGTAATTGATCTGCTTCTAAACTTACGCTTTGTATTAATTTTACAGCATTTAAAATATTCAAGAGGTGTTTTGTCTTTATGAAATAGTCAATTATGTTCCTGAATTTATTATCCTAGCTATAACATGTTATCTTGTGGCTTTTTCTTTTGGACCAACTGTTACCAATCACCAAATAATCTTTGTTACATATATCTTTAACTTTCTCTGTGAGTCCCCATTATGTTCTCATATCCATTTCTGTCTTTTCCTGTTTCCCCAGTTGCTTTGCTTTTTAGGATTTTTTTGAATTCTCTACATGACCTCTGCAGCTGAAGAAAGTGTTGGATGGTTGAAGAATAACTCTGAGCTTGGATGACTTACAAGTACACATGTGGGAAGGAGGGGAATACAATAAAGCACTAGCACATATGCAGAGAGAACCCAGCATTTCCTTGTGTAGTATCAGATGTGAAATTGTAACATTTAAGCTGTAGAAGTATAAAATGCAGGTTGAGGTATGTGCATGCATTGCTAGTGTTTGTATTGCCTTTGGTTCACAAAATATGGTGTAGAAAATGCCACCAATTTTGTTGAAATTAAAACAAAAAAGAACATGTTTTCAGTTATAGTGCACATGCCAAAACAGATTCTTTGCCATCTTGCTTGTCATTTCCCTTTCTATTTTCCCTTCCCCTCTTCTGTAATGTAGTCCAAACCCAGAGTTATTTTATGGCCACTGTACCTAGACCTAACATTAGATGCATGCATGTAATTTCATTACAGTATGAGATAATAGAAAACATATTCATGCATACAGAATATAAGATAACAATGTATTTGAAAATTGTATTCAACCATCCAGGGTCAAAAGTTAATCACCCATAAATTACATTTTTGTTGTCTGTGTCATATTGCATGCAAAAGTTTCTGTCCTATATGTCATCTGGTAGAGATAAAGTTGTTTCTATAGGATTACATTATATAGACTCTCAAGGTTGGTTGGGTTATGCAACTCTGACTAAAGAAGAAATTTCCTGTTATGTCAGCTTAGAGGGGTGTTTTTGTGCAAATTCATCACCACAGTGGTATGAGAACCAGCTATAGAAGCAAGTGATCACACAGAATTAGTGTTTTTATTGCAGTTGCTCATTTTACATGCTTTGTTTTTTATAGTTTGGAATACCTAGGAAAAGTGCTAGTGAGAAACATGGAGGTATAAAGATGGATGCTAGCAGCAAGAAGAGAGAGATTCCTCATCCCAGGGCTTCTGCAAATCCACTGTCAGCTATCACATTCTAGTAAGATGAATTGATAACTGAATCTGTAACCATTTTGGATTTTGTATTAATATAGTAAATAAAGGTTGTAATTGGAATAATATTATTATTGTTGCTATTGGATGATATATTAGCATTAATATTATTCTTAGTATTACTCTTATTAAGACTTTATTACTATTATGCACATTTGCAGTACTGTGGAGTACCTTTTAAAATTGTATCTGCTTATCTGTCAGTACATATGAAACAACTCTGATATGGATAAACCAACTTTGAGGAAATTTGATACTGAATAATTTTGTGAATCTTTTTTTAGCCAATTCAGTTTTCATTTAGTTTGAATACATACTTTTAATAACTTCTTTACATAAGAATATAATACTTTGTCTTCCTTACACAGCATAATAATTTTCCATCATCAGGGTGATGATGGAGGCAGCAAGTGCAAAGGCTGTATATAAAATATGTTTTCATGTTTCTCAGTTGGCTATTAGGTACCTTCAAGAAAGGGTTTAAGAAAGACTTGGAAATAGAGGATTTGTACTCCACACTTGAGGAACATCGATCTGATTATTTGGGGAACAAAGTGGAAAGGTAAGATGTATATTTGATCCACTGTGTGAAGTTGTACAAAGTTTGTCTATTATCAAGTGGCATGTAGTGTTATTTTATATGGCCGTCAAAATGTCACACCTATGCTATCAACCCACTTTTATCTTTTGGACACATGACCTTGAGCCACATAACAGCTGTTTAAGTATTGACTATCTAACATCAAAGATGTGTTTTTTGAGATCAAGGTGTGTTCATTGTTGAACATTACTCAAAGCATAGACTACTATTTAATTTCATATTGTTATATTTCAAGTAGATGGCTGTATGACATCTCTGTGATGTTGTCAAGTGGATAGTATTGCTGTACTTTGTATTTGGAAGATTCAGAGTTCAAGTCTCAGCCTGGAGACTGGCTATTCCAACTTGGTTTTTTGTACTTTTCCTCAGTCTCTCCTGTCTAATGCCAAGATAGTACCTTAAATTAAGCCATGACCACTTCCTTCCATATGTTTTGTATTTTGTTATTCATGAATTATCCCATTGTTTGTTGCTTTGTAATCTGAGCTATTTACAGCATTGTTAAATAAACTGTAAATAGAATTTATTTACTCTGTGTGGAAAGATCAGATGTCTCACTGTCTTCTTTTTTAAATTTTTTCTCATCACAGAGTTGCTGGATATCATTTTAGCATGGTCTGTAATCACAGTTTAGTACAAGGGCAGACGAGCTAGGCTGTGGACCGAACTGGAGAAATCAGACATATTTGTGAACCAAGCATTAGCAGAAAAGTATATAAATTGGTTCATTAATATTGTTATATGCATATAATGGCCTTGAACAAGTTGTATATACAAATTAACTCGTTAATTCAGGTTGGTAATTCATGTGTGTAGGACCACAAGTGACTGACATTCCTTAGTTTGATACCACATGGTCTTAATACTTGAGGTTTGCTAAAAGATGTTTTTATTTCCAGCTTGTTTGTTATCCATAAATAATGACACAATTAATTGTCATTGGTGAGAATAATTGGTACCAGATGGATTTGAGCCATATCCTAACATGTCTTATAAGCATTTAATCTCCAAATTTTTAATTTTCATCTAGACACATGCCTTATAGAGTATGAACTGAACTGAATGTGGTTGTAATTTCTCATTTTCAGACTTGGTAACTTATTTGTGTCAGTGTCTCCTTTCATGTTTATAAGACTGTTAGTAAATGTGTGTTTGGAGAACTACAGAATAAATAAAAACAGAAATGACTGTGTACATAATACTAATTGCTTCAGGTTGTGGAATCAGGAACTGGAGCAAGCTGGTGGCATAAATGGAAAACCTAGTTTGTTTAAAGTTCTCAGAAGATGCTTTGGTCTTGAAGTCATTCTCATTGGGCTGATATTGGCTTTTGAGGAACTACTCTTCAAGTGAGTGATATAACTCCATATTTTCCAGGTTTTCATCTACTAACTATATGATTGACTGGCCAGATGTTTTGGAACCTAAATATTCATTGCTAAAGCATATCATTTGATCCTGCACTGAGCCTCTTTAGTTTCAGGGCATGGTAGCTCTTGAGGTAATTGTGAATGTGTTTAATAGTCAGTCACAGACAGTTGAAAAGGGATAGTTGGAGGCTAAGCTATCACTGTGAAATTCAGTTTTATACCTAGTAATGAAATTTATGGGGTGAATGTTATATCTGGTAACCCATCAGCCCGCTTTTTTGGTAGGTAATACTTTGTTTCAAACCTTACAGTGGACTTAAATGAAAATATGCATGAATAAACCTGTGATAAAGCATTTACCTTGCTAACCTAATTCCTGTGTATTTTCTTTTTCCATAAATTAATGAACTACTAGAAAAATATGTTTCTGTCAGAGTGTAATGCATTTTTTGTTGTAATGTGCAGGGTAACTCAGCCCCTATTTGTAGGAGGATTTATCCGGTATTTCTCACCAGAGAGCAACATGAGCCGAAACACAGCATTCATGTATGCTGCTGCCATTGTGATATGTTCAGCTGTTAACGTAATTGTGAGACAATCATTCATGATGGCTATGTTCCATTTGGGCATGAAAATACGAGTTTCCCTCTGTTCCCTCCTCTATAGGAAGGCAAGTACATACTTCTGTCATATTTATTCTATAATATTCAGCAACTGGCCACCTAATCTGTGTTGTAGTGTATTTTTTTCTGAAGTAGTTGGCATTGCGTGTGGTGTTTGAGAATGTATTTATCATCATCATCATCATCATCAGTTCAATTATTTGTGTTTGCCAACAGTCAAGCAAGGCAATTGACAGTTAAGCACTAAAAGGAACAATACATTTAAAATAAAAATAAGAAACATGATCCAAACACACAATGTAAACCCTACAGAATATGGACAAAGAAAAATTAAAAGAAACTATAATTTTATTTAATGTAAAAATGATTTATATAAGTGAAATATAATCTTTGTAGAAAATGTTTATGTCCTTGCAAAAAACATTGGCATCAGAATCACATCTAGCTGAGGGACTTACCTTAAAATTGTAATGTACCATAAATGTAGAGTAGTCTCTAATTATCCTAGTAGTTATTTCTGCACAGGGAAAATTAAATGTGGAAGAACAGCTAATTTTGTATTTAAGTACATTAATAAGAAAAATGGCATGTAGATACTGCCACCTGAAATAAAGTGTTGAAAGATTCAGTCTAGCTAAAATACCTTCATATGTATTTATTTTTATATATATATATATATATATGTAAACACACAGAAAAATCTTCTATAACATGAGGTAGAAAATTTTCTTTGGACTAAGTGAGATTTCATGTTGTCAAAGCAGCAAGTATGAAGGTGTCTATCTTCTGAGACACTGTGCTTTGTATTTACTTCTGATGATGAAGGCAGTAAGCACCTTTGAAATATCAGTCAATTCCTATGAAACTACACAGCACAACATCCCAGAAGACAGCCATCTTATTTCCTTCGGACTCTTGCAAGTGTGGACAAATTTGTCATTGTATTGGAGTTCTAGCCAAGATTCATTTTGCAGTTTGAGCCACAGAAAGGCGATACACAAGACTATTAGCAGTGCAAAAAGGAGAGGTAATATAATGAATCAAACCAAAACTTAACATTTTTAAGCCTTGATAAAACATGTAGTCAGTGTGGTGATGAAAATAGAGCTAACAGTCTTACACACCTCCAAGATCTGAACACACCAAGAATGTAAAATAATGTAAGACTTGAGGTTCTCACAGCGGTGAGTATGAAGATTTCTGTCTTCTGAAGATCATTACACAACTTGTTGTTTAAGTTGTATGTATGGAAATAAATGGTGTAGGCATCAAAGTAACCCTTTCACTATGACCATCAGCTAATCTTTTGTGCATCACTGTTCTTCTGATCTTCCAGTAGTCATGTGTTTACTTAACACACAATATCTTACTCAGAAGAATCTTACAGAAATCATCTGGTTCCAGAAAATGTCTGCACAAATGGTGAAATCATAAATCTTGTGTCTATAGGTATAACCCCCTATAGATCCCAGGTCTTGTGGTGTCCCTGGGTCTTTGAAGAAAATTAACCTCTTAACTAGGGTATTGCTCTCACCCAGACCTGGGCCTTTTAGGCACCCTTTTCAAGTACTTCCTGGGCTATGTATTGCCATGTACCCAGGTTGCCATAAGCCCCCAGTACTACTTTCCTTCTGGTGCTTGCCACATAAGGTCTGCCTATGGAACATTTGTCTTTACAGCATCTCTGGGTTGACTGATAACATCAGCTCCCCTGTGTAGTGGCAACATCCATCTACTTTACTACTGTTTTCTCTTGTATTTACACATCTTGATTTTGCCCCATTTGTAGAATGGAAATGTTTATTTAAGGAGTTGATTTATATAATTAAAAGGCAGGTGAAACTATATACAAAAATGTAATTAATGTTTGCTACATTTTGTCCTCTGTAAAATTATAACCAATGTATGTACATTCTGTATGAAATAATTTTTGCAGGATAAAACTAATTTACACTGAGTAGGAAAAACATTAGGTGTTGTAAATCTGCTTCCAGGACAGAAATCATGTAACTTGTACATCAAATGCCTTCCTTCAAGTTGTATGCAGCTTTCCCAGGCAGTCACAGAGGTTTGTGTTTGTCTTGACAATTGTCATGACATTAACAGAGAACAATGAAACATCAGTAAATTTTATAAGATTACATTTAGAATTAACATAATTTAAAATGAAGGAATTCAAAAATGTTTGTTTAATCAAAAAATTAATATTAGTGGGGAATTTTTTCTTGTTGTTAATATCAAGTGGTTAATTCAGTTTAAACATGCTGTTTTAATTAAGGGGCAATTTTTTGTATTGGTTTATTCATTATTCAGTTTGGTATAAGGTTACCTTTGAAATTTTACATGAATAATTTTATCTGATTAATTGTTAAGTCTCAGTATGACAACAGTGCAAGCTGGAAATGATTTGCCATGATGAAATGTCTGGTACTTATCTTGGTAGCATTTCAACAGGAACTTGATTATATTTGTGCTATAGGTAAATTATAAATAGATGTTTTATTTCATGACATTCATACCTCAAAGAATTGTCAGTTCATATTTACAGTATTCACATTGTCTAAAATAATATTATAGTTTCTTACAGCACTATATTATCCAGTATTTTAAGTAGAATATTAGAAAATAAACATGAGCATTTCATCAGGGTCCAGATTTTATGTACATTATAATGCTAATGCAATAGCATCCTTACCAACTACTGTTATTTCTAGATAGTGTACAGGAATTCTATAAAATAGTGGCCATATTTAGATTAAAATGCTTTCTGAATGTGATAAGATTAAACTTTGGTTTTTAAAATAATTTATTTTTTATTTTTTTAATATTAGGTCCATTTCTATCTGAACTGTTGCCATGTGTACACCAACATATCTTAGGTAACTAGCTGTAGCAGCTGATATTCTTCATTTTAACTTTTGTAGTGGTATTAGTTTTGAGGAGTTCATTTGTTCTTTATGTAACCCCAAGGAAATACAACTGGGTGAATCACAAAGCTAAAAGCAATCTCTCTGCTCCCCCAGTTATTTATCATCATTGGGTATTCGGTGATTGCTGCAAAATATTAGTGGTAAGTGGGGGTTGTTCTGTGTTGCTGAACGATGATGACAGATACCTCAAGGAATGGAAGAGTATAATTAGCTAACATGTCCAAATATAATTTATTTTTTTCTGAGTGTTTAGAGTGCACTAAACTCATTCATCTTAGGATAATCTCCATGCTTTAGGTAGTCAAATGGATGAATCTGAACCCCAGTTTAGGAGTCATGCATATTTACATCCTTGACTAGCAGAATGCTGCTTCATCAGAAATAGTCCTCTTCACACACACCAGCACAACAAATCTGAAGCAAGATTGTCTGTCTGCTTTAGTATTGTGTTATAAAATCACTTTATAAAAGTAGACTGCTAGTGTAGGATGGTCTGTAAGGTTTTGTACAATGCAGGATTTTTTATAAAGTTGAAATTATTATTAAGGTACTTATTTTATAAAAGAAAGAACACTATGGTGGCTGTCCAAAATATTTCCAATGTAGTGGCTGATAACCAGTGTAGCTAGGAACTTT